AATTTTTAGGGTCCCGGATTTATTAATCATTATTAGGGTGGGTTTTATTAATGTGGTAAAGGGATTGCTTCTCTTCTGCAGCCCTCCGATGACCCGCACAAAAAGCAGCTTGGCCGACCTCTTAAAAATGTCACTCGGCTATCATGAGCATTCAATCGGAAAGTATGCGGCAGTTGACTAGATCTGGCCAAGTCAAAGAGAGACGTGCTTTCATGCTACAGGGTGGAGCCGTGACGGTGACTTCCGTGTTCCTCGTCTTCCCACATCCAGGATACCCATTGGCTCTAGGACCAACTTGTACTCCTGGATGGCTTGGACAACGGCGTTGTTGAATTTCAACCATTTCAACCCAACAGGCCGCTTTGGGGACCCGCTCCCTCCTTCGGGAATTCGATTCCAGGTGAGGCAAAAAGCCCCTAACTCAACCATACGAATTTGGAAGAGGCACACATAATAGTCGACTTCTCAGACTATCCGCACTAGCAGCGCAGATGGTGCAGAACCAGCCGTCCCGGTGATTGCCGATGGCTTGCCATGAAACTTTGAGTCTTCCGTGCGCGTGCTGAAGCGGATAATGCCTGCTCGTGCACCTGACCAGACCTGGCATAAGCACCTCAGGTTGATGCGGCAACTCAGCTGATGCGCTTCTACACTTCCAGCATTAGCATTTATCTTCCTTGCCAAGCTGCAGAAAAGCATGGCGGCGCTTTGGTCATCCGCCTTGGTATAAGGCTTCAATGCAATTAGGCAAATGGTGTAGTTTGGGCGCCATGCCATGCCCAGGGTCGCCAGCACCTGCACAGGGCAGTTGCAAGTGTCCAGTTGGCAGTCAACTCCACCAGCCTGCGGGGCCAAGCTCTGGAACATCTTCCCATGGTTTGTAGACAGCATGCTGAAGGCATGCATGGTCACCCTGAAGTTTCAAAGACAAGGAAATCTTCTCGCCCTCTTGAGAGCTTGGCCGACTGATTTGAGTTGCGAGCGCCAGCTGGCGACTGTGGAACTCCGATGCTCGCTCTTCAACTGCCTGTAGTCGCGGGTAGCCTACTGATTGCGCAGATAGCCAGTGCTAGCCCAGTTCTGCAAGACCTCTGCCAAGCAGAAAAGGGACTTCCGGTGCTCGGACGCCTTGTCTGACACCCTTGCAGCATTGCGAAACAAAATGCGCGCGATGTGACAACATGCGGCTTGAAGCTTGACTCAAGGATTCAAGTCGTCTCCCAGACGTGAGGACAGTGCAATCCCGAGCTTCACGAGGGCATGGAGAGACTGCGACAACCTCTGCACCACCCAGGAAGGAAGACTGCCGTGCCGACCATGGCTTCCAAAATCCGGCACTTGCTCGCGCCAGGCAGCTCCATTGGAACCAGCTCGCGAGCTTGTCTTGGGATCTGCCTGGCCTGTCACCAAGATCGTTTACGCACAGCGAGCTTGCTGACATGCCCAGCTCACCAGCTGCCCCAGAACCTCCGAGTCTTCCAGCCTAGGCCAAATCGACTTTCGCGCCAAGATATCAAATCATGGGGGCACCACTAAGCCTCCAACTGCAACTTCGCATACGCGTGCAGCCTGAATGGCTCCGGAAATGAAGCTGCTGCCACACTAGTAGAGCTGTGCCCACACGAAACTTGGGACTCAGCAAATTTGCAATGTGCTGGGCCTTGAAGCTATCCAGATTGCGGCCTAAGCATGAAGATTGCACTGAAGCAACCTATGTTTTTTCTGGGATGTTCATGCTCTCTCCACCCAGTCACCTGCAAGGTTTCTGCACCCTGCGCTGCAAACCTCCCATGTTCGATTTAGCCCCTGTATGAATGCTCTGCACATCGAAGTGGCTGTCTACGAAACCGCTCCGGCAAAGCTTCATTCATCGTTTGGGCTTACTTCCTGCGGCACACTATTACCTGAATCCACTCAACATCTGGTCCCTGGATAGAATCAGCATCGACTAGGGGATGCTGAAAGACCTCAACTCTCGGACGCCTTTGCTAGCACAGGTAAACGTGTGCATCATGTGCTTTTGGCTCCTGGACTCTGCCTGTCTAACAGGACACGAGACCAGCATGATGGCATGAGCTTCTGACGAATAGCGATGCTCAGCGCTGAGAAGAGGCCCTCATCGCGAAAACCAACCTATCCAAACAATTCTGGCTGCCTGACACCTGCTAGCAAAGCGAGCCGCCTTTGCCCAGGCATTTGCAACTGCAGCGATGCCTCTCAAGAAATGCACTTTTCAACCGCCCTTTCCCTCAAATATCTTTCAAGCCTTGTGGCGTGAGCTCTACAACCTTCTCGGAAGTCCAGCCTGAACTTTGCAACTGCAAGGTGCCGTTGTCGCTTGGGCGGTGCTTGGTGTCCAGCTGCTGAGCTTTTGGAAAAGCGGGCCGTCTGCAATCTGCATGGGACAATGAAAGAGAGCATACTGCTTGGAACCAGCAAATCCTTTCCTTCAGCGAAGTCTGCAGTCGGCTGCATGCAATTGCAGTCGGACATTCGGACAGTGGGACCGGTGTTTTGCAGCTTTTCGTCGAGTTTTCTTGTGCAATGGGCCCTCAGGTCTGCGCGCCGATGCCTGGAGTTCGAACCAGACCCGTGCATCTCGCTACTCTGAGAACCACACCACGATTAGACTAAATTACATCAAATGTACTTTTAGCTATCAGCACTCACAGCGTTCAAGCTAAGTACTTCTAAGCAAATGTCTGCTGCCAGGCATCAGTGCCAGGTATTTAGCGCTGCCACGGCCAGCAATCGGACCTCCCTGCATCGATCCTCCACGCCCTTCTTACAGCCGGCCTCGCTCCAAAATATTTTCCATGAACACACTCAGGCGGGAAAACGATTAGTCCACACCTGGATCTCCTTCTTGAAAGGGGTCAGGTGGCCGTAAGCCTGGCACACCGTGGCAAAGCGGTACTATGTGGTACTGCATCCAGTGCACAGGAGCCAGAAGCCTGTGGGATCAGGACCATCAAGACCTGGAAGCAGGCCAGCCTCACCTGGAAGTGAAAGCATGATGTATGATGTTGTGTCCACAAGTATGTTTTGGGGACCAAGACAATCCGTAAAACTACCCTCAACGTAATGCAATCTAATAAGAATAATCCTCATAGTCATGATAGCCCAAGTAGTCGATACGCACGAGACTCTTTATACAAAGATTCCAGGGTCCAAGAGCAATGACCGATATTATGAGAACCGTGACCGCCCGCATGAACTTTTGATGCTTTACTGACAACTGAAACGTGGCGAACTTGCAGAAGTTCAAGAACAACTAGAGAGCAAGTAGAGCCCAACAACTAAGCTTGGAGAATGGAATTCGAGAGTCCCAAATGGACTCTTGCCTTGGATTTTCCCGACAAAAACTCCAATCCAAGAATAAGCTTTGTGAGTTGGTGCGGATATTGAATCAAGCGGGAGCGCACCCCTCGAGCCATGAAATCGTCAGAATCATACGCGACTTGGACGTTGGACGTGTTCACTTGGCCCTGGCTGCAAAGATGGGTATGCTGCAGTCCTGTTTCACTAGTTTTTGTAGCGAGCAGCATGCAACTGGCGCTTTGAAGCATATACCGCACCTGAGTGCGGTGCAACAACAACATCGGCTTCGCACGCGAATAAATAACTTCTAGAATGTTGTAGCTTCCCGTCATCCGTGGACCCCTGGAAGCCTTACACTGGATTTCCAGGTTTACGCTTCATCTGCTAGAAAACGAAAAAAGCAGCACCCCTGGATTGCAACTGGAGCATGCTGTGCCGCATGGGAGTGAGGGCTTGGTTTTGCACCTAGAGTCGAGTGCTTCCCTAGCAGTCTCATTGAAAGTCTCCGTTCTTGCATTGCTCTGGTCTGTTCTGTCCTTTCCCTTTCCTACTCGAAAAAAATGAAGGAAATCTGTGGACAGTACGCAGGAAATGTGAGGTTGATGACACATAGGAGTGCACAGGGATGAGAGATAGGAAACGGGTTTCCGTGATGACGGTGATGTACTCAGGCTCCGATTTCTGCCCTTGCAGCTTGGACCTGCAGGCTTTTCTGTAGCTGCAGACTCATCTCTCCTTCCAGAAGTGGATGCTGATAATGCTGCCCTGCAGCGTGCCGGAAAATCATCGGCCCATCCATGTCAGACAGGTGCAAATCACAGGCACTTTGCGAACAAGTCCCTTTTTGCGAGCAAAAACATGAAAACATGGTGGGACCACATGTGCAGAGTTTGACTAACTCTTCGTCGAGACTTGATTCTTCCCTCCTGCGTAGCTGAAACAACTCTGCAGGGAACATCAAGACTTTACGCGGCCACAGGTTCTGCAAAGCAGTCTCCTCCGGACTGAAATTTGCAGCTTAATTAGCTCAGCGGCGGATTTTCCCTAGAATAAGTCAGCTCATCCTGAAACAGGTTCTGCCTTCCTCGCAACGCCTTCATTTGACCCTGTAACATTTGCCGACCCCATGTCCAAGGATTTGCCCTTGACTGTTGACACTTCTGCGCAGTGCCCCAGGGCACTTCGGATGCTGGCATTGCAAACTCTCCACGAGCACAAACGCAGTCTTTTCGGTCAATTCTGTAGCCCCAGACAAAGTCTTAAGCGGAAAGCCCTCATACAAAGTATCTACACTACACATGCACGAGCCACCAGGGGTTTGCAGTGGCTGCTGCAGAGCTCGCAGAGTGGACCAACCTTAGCTTCCAATACGTATTCTAAAGGATCTCTCCCGACTGTGAGCACGCAGAAGGCAATGCGCACTACACCCGCCCAGGTCTTTGGCCACACACATCTGTCATCTGCCGCTGTCCATTTGCAGACGTGTCTGTGGTCAAGACTATAGAGTGAAGTTCGTCCTCCACCCACGACTGGCTATGCTGGATTGCACGCACCAGCAGCTGCCTCAGAGTCGCTTGGGCAGTCGTCAAGACATGAAGATGGCCAGCAACTCTTCGCATCTCTTCGCTTCGGCTACCTGCAAACCAAGAGACAGGACCTGCACGGCAAACGCGGAGGCCTGGAAGTGCAAGGGCTTAGGACAAAGCAACGGCATGGTTTCCAAACCCTAGCAGTGCTCCACGACCGATGCTAGTTCAAAGTAGCGTGGAAAAGGCCACTTGATGCGATGCCAGAACAAGAGCGAACATCACCTGCCTGATCAGCATGTGAAGCTGCAGCGCTCTCCTTCAAGCGCTTCAACCCCGTCAGCGTGCCTCTGCACCCAAGAAAATCACTGCCAACACTGCAGTCGGAATCTGCAAGCACTAAGGCTTAGGCACCACCTCAGCTCTTCACCTTGGATGGAGACAGTTGTTTGTCAACTTTATCTTGCGTCCCTTTGGAAGCAAAAGCAGCCATGCTCATCAAACTGCTGCCTGACGTATTAATGTATGTCAGAGGGGCTGCAATCCACGCAAGCAACCTGGGGCTTGCAGTATACCACAATGGAAGCAATCCACGCCGCGACCTACTCGTCACTACTCATGGCCTCAACAGAAAGCGCCGCCAGCAGGGTAACGGCACTTTCTAGGGCTGCTCGACGTGCCCATGCAACACTACCCATCGCCTGAGTGGAAGCAAGATGCTCGGCTTCTCTGATAGCATCTTACAGCTTGCCAAACAATGAACCCAAGCGCACGACTGCACGACAAAGCTGAAACATGCTGCACACATGCCTTGGTGCCAGGCCTTTGCTCGGGACACAAGAGATGGCAGAACAGTCCGCGAGAGCCTGACAAGCCGGTGAAGGTCTCATCATTTTGGCAAATACTTTCTTCGTCCAAGCAGCTGTTGCAAAGCTATCGGAGGCAGCGCCACCTGAGAGCACCACTCTCTCACAGCGCTGAGGGTCTGCCACATGTCTGCTGGACTCCATCAAGTTGCTCGAGCAGTCTTGCCGGCGTCCACCTCCAACCATGAAGCTTGCAGCTTAGCAGCTAACACACAACCAAGTAAAGAGCAGCAGGCCAGCCTTTACAGGCGCCAAAACCCGGAATGCAGCTGGAACATGCGGCCCCACAGGTGCTTCCTCGTCCAAGGCTTGCAGAAGGGCTTCTAAGAAGCTGCCAGCCTGTCAGAGGTCAACAAATGAAATGTCTCCAGCAAGCAAATGCAAGACAGCATGGAGCTGTCTCAGCGCTGGGGCTCTGATGCCTGCTCAGAGCAACTGCCACGCCGTCGCAGCAGCGCCTGGGGTGAGCGGGCAACATGTTGGCCGCAGAATCCCTGTTGATGTGCATGCCATGCAGAAAAGGGCAGCATCACGTCTGAGGCCAAGGCTGCTGTAGCGGAGGCCCAGCACGTCGCGGCGCCACGGCTGGCACGATCATTCGCCGTGCTATGACCTGCCCGCCCAGTTTCCAAGCTGCCGGTTCACTAATGCGAGGCGCCGCATAGACAGACAAAAGCTGACACAACAACGATGCCAAAAGATGGACTTTCGAATCTGGCGGAACATGCATGCTCTCAAAGATGGACGTTCTTACTACGGTTTGGGCATAGATGCTCTGGTGACCGAACTCTGGTGGAATGAAGCGGCTGGTGCAGCATGAATGCTCAGTGACTGAATGCAGGGGGGAAGTGGACGTTGTGGTTTGCGCATGGCTACTCTGCTGACCGCATGCACTGAAAAACGGAAAGCATCATGCTTTGGGCATGGATATCAATTCGACATGTATGGGAAGTGGGAATTGACATTGTCTGTCTTGGCATGGATGCTGGTGGAAGCTGCAGTCCCTGAAACGCTTGTTTTTGCCTGGTTGTTTACTCGGTTTGGAAAACCCTCCAAAACCCAGAAGCCTTCGCAAAGAGACGAAGACATCCATGAGTCACACTTGCAAGAAGAAAACGGACTTAGCTCTAGCCTCGCAAAAGCTGCCCGAAGGTGTCCCGGAAATTCCTTGGCTTGGCTTGTTTTGATTGCTTCTGCTTGCAGCGTCCGGTTCTCAGCACTCAGTCACCGGTGTCTGCCAAGCTTCTGAAGAAGCGATGGAACCTTGCAGGAAGGAGAGCAGACCCTTGACCCTGGCAAGGGTTCCGAAGCCTCCTCATCCGGGCAAGACTCAACCAATGACTCCAGGGCCTGAGGCCGGCTTCAGCACAGTCAAAACTTGTCAGAGAAGGGTCCAGCCTGGAGAGCGAGAGCCTCTGCTGCTGGTGAGCTGAGATCAGGGTCAGATCCCGAAGCGCAGCGGCACACCTCAAACGTGGCAAAGGCCGCACTACAATGCGAGCAAGGATGCATCTTGCTAAGACTTCGGATAGTCATTTCAACAATGTTGTCAGTTTTCCGTGCACTCGTCTTAACACAGAGTCATCCTCACAGCCTACCTGTTCTAGTTGTGATGGACCGCAAAGCACAGTTAGATGCCAAGACGCTGCAGGCATTGTCTTTCGACAGAAGCTCCAGCTATGCTCTGCAGCTTGCGGAAGCACGCCAGGCACCAGCCTCAGTCATAAAGAATGCAACTTCTGCAACTTGCAGCCTCACTTGAAAGCGGTCCTGCTAGCCACATCCAATGTCATGAAGCATGTGTTCTTCGCACATCATCCGAGCAACGCAGTGCAGTTGGCTAGCACGTTGCAGGAGCTCAGCGCCACGGATTCCAAGAGACGGCGCTGCAAGGCCGTCGCCTTGCAAAGCAGAAAAACTAAAAAAAAAAAAAAAACTTCTTGCAAACGGACTCCGCCTGCTGCTCGGGTAGGTGCCGGCAAAGGACACGCATGAAGCGCCGAGACGCCTTACTACTTGATTGAGCAACCTAAGCATGCACAGCATGCGAAGGACGGAACTAACACGAAGCTGACCAAAATCCGGAAACCACAAGCGGCCAGAAGGCCAAACCTATCCTTGCAATAATCGAAGGAAAGCATGCCCCTCAACTGCTCACAGCACGTTGCGAATCACGCACCCTGTAGCCTTACCGTTTACTGCATGTGCAACAGCCCATGCCTACAGCTACTCTCTTGTTGTCATGCATCTGCTGCTCCATCTCACCAGCTAGTTGTCGTACACTCGGCGCATGAGTGCAAGAGACGTGCACCGGTGATACTTTAGAGTCTGGGCTATGACTCAATGACTTATGTTATAAAGCTGAACTCCACCAGACTGGGCTTGTGCTTCCTCCGGGGCACATCAGCGCGATTCAGGACCATGTCGATGGTGGGCGGATTTCCTGCTCATTGCGGCTGCGATTTCAGCCATCCCCAGCTTGAAACGGATTGGCTGCTCTGGTTTGCCTGTTCTTTGGAGGGCTGTTCTTCTCCCCTGGTCGTGTGGGGCGCACTCTCCAGTGAAAATGACAAGGTAGCAGCTTGTGGCCCCAGTAGCGCAAGGTCGCTTTGAAGAGGCTTGGTTCGAGGCACCCAAGCAGAATCAGCGTCACAAGAAGAAAGGACTACAAGAAAAGTGTCACGTGCCACAGCTCCTTTCTGTTTTTCTCTCTGTCAACTGCTCCTGACCATCTCTCATAATCGTCCTCCCCTTTGCGGGGTATGCTCCTTGAACTTGTTCCCCCTTCCTGTAAATCGTTGTCCTGTTAATCGTTCGTTCGCAGAAAGAAACAGTCATCTATCATGAACACGGTCTTGTGTTTCGGCTGCAGGCGCACCATATGCACTAGGAATGTTTAGGAACGCATGGCGGAAAAGCTTACCCATGCCTATCTCGAATAGCTACGAATAGCTGATTGGTGGTTATGATTTCTGCGCTCACCCGCACCTTCATAGCACCTGCTTGAGTGCACACTGAATTGAATTCTTGGCCTTGGGGGTGCATCTCGTCTGCATTAAATCAGTTCTCAGTCTGTATAGCTGACGCCCGTTCTTGAAACTACCGTGGCTTGATTGTCGCAATGGTGTTGCCGCAGTCTCCCTTTCAGTTGTGTTCGCTTGGATTTGAACCTTTTTTCCTGCTCCATAGGCGAATGCTTTCCTTTCCATTTCTACCTCCCGGGTGTATGGTACCCTGCTTCAAACGCCCATTTCCAGAAATCGGCCTGTGCCGTGCCTTCTGGTCCGTGCCACATCACTCACTGAATTGTTATGCCATTTTTCTTCATCGCTTCTCCCTTACCAAGTACTCCTATGGTTTCCAAGAATCGTCCAAGAATCGTCCAGTTGGGCCTCATGTCTCCGCATCGCTTGCTGCAGCCCTTTGGGGAGATGTGCCAATATTTCTGGAAAACGCCTGCGGCATGGGTCTCAAGCCAAGCGGGGCCGTGCGCGCGCGGTTCCTCGCGTCGAGCTCTCTCTCGCTCTTGTCTCTCGTGAACTTGCTCAACTACAACTGGAAGATGCGGTGATAGCTACACGCTCTCATCAGCCACCGCACTATGTGCCTAGCTACTAAAATACCTTACAAATGATTCAGGGCAGCAACAGGCCTCCCTCCAGATCTGTTGACAGGCCCTCGACAAGCTCCGGAATCGTGTCAGGCAACCCCTTAGAAAGGACCAGTTGCAGCGCAGGTCGTTTTCAGTTTGGCACCTCAACCCTTCCACTGGCAGGGACCAGTGCATGAAAGCATTCCTGCCCATGGCCAAGCAAGCTCCACCAAAGCTCATGAAGACGGACACGACAACTGATTTGCCAGCATGGGTTAGTGAGCGCCTTAAACAACGGAGTGCATGCAAGAGGCAAGTGCATGTGCCAGCTGCCCAGAGGCCCAGGTGCTGCCATCACCTGGAGCCTCCAAGGCGTCAGCAAATGCACCCAAGACCTGCCAAGGTCGTCATGACAGCAATCACGCACACATCCTGAAGCATGACCCGACTCTTAACCAGCATTGAACTGTGCAGGAACAGCACCTCGAAGTGACCGTTGGCTCCATGTTGTTTGAAGATTGCCGCTGCGCCTCAGCACCGTTGCAACTCCAGCCGGGCCATCTAGAACTGATGCTGATCTTGAAGCCATGCGGCGCTGCAACAGCTTGCTGCTGAGTTCTTCGGCTCCTGCAGAGACAAGACGCGATCGCAGTCAACCCGATTGATTTCGCTGAGCCAGCTTTCCTGCATGGACATCTGGCTGGGCTTGCTTGGCTGTTGCCAGGCTCAACGCAGTGTAGGCCAGCAGCTTAGGAAGTACATATGCCAACCACCTTTGCACAGGGAAGGCGGCTTGCGGGCTTCAATCTTATGCTTTCCATCAGGGTCTCATGAAACTTCTGGCTAAACAATAAAATCAGCAAGGTATCCCACCCCGGTGTTTATCTGGCTAACTCGCCAACAACCGAAGACCTGCATCTGCGGTCGATGTAAGCACCAAGCCTGTATCAAAGCGGAGCATCAAGAAAGCTCGGCAAACCTTGTGCCTATCATCGTAGCCAGCTCTCAACTACATGAAGCAAGAATGGTGGTGCCCAAAAGCTGTACTGTTTTCCATGGTTGCACCTGGCATCAGATCACAAAGAAAAAACGTAATCGGCAAATCGTTTCCTTTCAACCGCTACGGAAGGGAGCTACCCATGCCGAAGCCCCATGCGGCTGGATCATTCCACTTGATCTCGGTTCAAGGGGCCCAGCATCGCTAAAACGCCAAGGCACGGAGACGCGTTCATCGCAACACTTTGCAGAGACTGGGCAAACTCGCTTGCCCTGCTTGGCTGGCTAGCCACAATTTTGCATACCTGAGCTCAGAAACGGGCGCAGCTGCAGCGAATCTGGCCTCTACGCAGACTTGACTGCTCGGGCAGATAAGGTTCCAAAGCTCGAGGCGCGAGATCACAAACAAACAGAGTGGGATATAGCCTTGTCCCTGGGGAGGTAAGTGCAGAAAGGCGCCTAGATGGCCGAAGGCATGGAACCCCGCATGTGACTCTCCATCCTGGCTTATAGTAGTCACTGCTAGATAGATCACCTGGCCTCAGAAAGTTCAATTTGAAGTTTGAAGACTGTTGGAAGAAAACTCCTTACTATCTTTTCGTGGGTGTCAGGATTAAATCGCGCCTGCTGGTACATGAGTACGCGTGTGGTTGGCCATGAATTTCTACAGGATTGCCCCTTGACAAAGGGAAAGGTCAGGCAGCAGCCGGCTGGAGGCCTTTGACCATTTAAGGCTTTCGTATTCTCATTCTCACTCTGCTTGGAACGGCTGACTTCGGCTGAAGCACCGCGGCAACCAGGGCAGACACGCACTGGTCACTCGCAGCTTTCAGGGACCTTTGTTTTGGCACATGCTCGTCACCGTAGCTGTACCTTTGGCTCTAGTCAGCTGGCACCCAACACAAAGAGCCTGAGGATCGCGCAGCTCCGCATGCCACGCTTGTGCCCAGGTGCTGTGACCTCGGAAGCGCTGATACGAAGTCAGGAGCCAGCAGAGGTTGACAAGTCCGCACAAAGGCGCCTCCTCCATCTCCATTTGTCCCGCCACCAAGCAGGGCGTCTTTCAGTGCGACAAATGCGTCTCTAGAATGGGCATCACCCACCATGACTGACAGCTGCCTCGACTTCATAGATTGGGGTACCCTGTGGATAGAGAAGAAAGGGCAGGCCATATTGAAGTCAAGTTACCCCACCAGCTCCAGTGCGGTGCTGAAAAGCCTGCTCCTTCCCCCTTCAATCCCTTCATCGTCACCCGATTCATATGGATGGATAGAGAAGAGACTTGCGAGAGATGCAGCCAGCGCTGGCTGAAGTTGCTTCGAGGCAAGGCTGCCCTGACAGGATTCAGAGCTGCACACCCACTTTTCAGGCATCCGGTCGTGCTGCGCTCTGAGACAGCGGACAGCAGAAGCAAACCCCCTTGCGCACATGCGCCTGTGGTCTTAACTGAAGCAGATCCACCAGGAAATGTAGCATGTCCAAGCTGAACGACGTCTGCTCAGCGTTGTCTGATTTGACCAGCGCGGCATCCATCAACGGCCGCCATATGCATTCAAACATCACCTTCAAGCACAGGGGCTGCAGCTACAGTAGCACGCAATTCCCACACTTTTACGTTCACGATGCTTCAACATGGCAGTCCTAGCGGCTCTATGTGCCGCGGCCATGGCAAGCAAAAGCTGCCTAGCGCCATCAGAAGCCAAAGACATCCGGCCTGGAGCGTCAACGATGAGGGTGTGCATCCGACAACAGACATTGAAACAGCGGCCTAGGGCCGCATCCTCGGCGATCCCTTTCAATTCTGGAGATACCTTTGCACAGGCAAGAGGGTGGAACACACGCACACACCCCGCGGGTTTCTTAGGAGGAACTGGTGCAAGGAGGTGGCTCTAAGGTGAAGCGACTACTGCTGCCATTGGCAGCGGAAGGTGGTCCCAATTACTGCTTAGCGCGCTCCAACTCAGCTCCAGAGCCCAGAGGGCGTTCGTCAAGTGGCACTCCAACAAAGCAGTATGAATCACTGTCGCATGGCTGGCTTCTAGAACCCAGAGGTCATAATGCCTACTACAAGCCAGCAAAGATAGCCCGCAATTGCTGATAATTGCTGGCTTCTGAAGATCGGTGAATTATTTTCCCGTGGGGCTGCATCCTTGGAGAGCCAGTGAGGGTGCAGACCAGCAGGGACGCCTTTCATCGCAATCTGCAGTGCTTTGGTGACCTTACTGCACCAAATGCGACGCTAGCCAAAGGCAAATGTAAACAGCGTATCTTGCTGTCACCTTTGCAGGCGAGTGGCTGCAGTGCAAAACTCCTTGCTGCATGTCGTCTTAGTGCGACATACCTGATCCCTTGCAGTGGCAATGATATCCTTGATGTACCTCTGTGCGGTCTGCTGTCCATATCTCCTCAGCTACTTGTGGCTGGATTAAGGTTGAGGTTGGGGCACCGGATGTCTGTGGCAAGATGCAGCAAAGCATCTCCAAACAGAATTGTAGGGTGCCCATGGCCTGCTCCACAGTGGCATCGCTGTCGGCTTCAATGTCTTTGCCTTGGATTTGGCCTAGCGTTTAGCGACTGTCAGAGGCTGCCTCACATCCTGCTACCAAGCAAGGGGCATCATGTTTATTTTTGGAAGATGAATGGCACGTGCCTTGGGCTTATGTTGCGGACGCACGGATGTTTTCTCCAAGCATTCGAAATCACGGGGTCTGAGGTACATGCGTTGGGCTCGCACACTGGGAATTGCTTGGTCTTTGCTGCATGGCCCATAATTTCAAGCGGACATGCGCAGCTTTACCACTCCAAGAAATCGAAAAAGCTCTGAGGTGTGCTGCACAAGATCACTTCTTGCACCAGCTAGCACCTGTCACCTTCGTTGCAGTCATCACTACCTCTCTATGTTCCAGAGGAATGGCGGATTGGTTACGGTTAAGCGAGTCAGTACATGTCCAATCCGCTGAGCGGAGTGCAAGGGAGTGCGCGAGATCCAGCTGTTCCAGGTCTGTGGCTTGCTGCAGGTGTCAGTCCAATCTACCAGAGTGCAACGCTTCCAGGCGATGAGCATGTTGCAGGGGAGAGTGAAAGTGCCTTGTTGCCGTCTTGCGAAACATCGACAACCGCCGGCTACAAATTGCTCATGTAATGCGCTGAGTGGCAGATGCGCTTGCGACAGAATTGCGATGATTTTTGCTCTGCGCGCGTTGGTGCGATTTCAGGCTGCAGTCTCCGGGCCCTGTGAAATGAAGATGAAAATGAAGTAGCTGGCCAGTACTTCCGGAAGATGCCTGTGAGTTGTGCTCTCAATCTGATTTGGTATTTTGCCACCCCTTCAAAGACCAGGTGGTCATCGCTGCGGAAAGTGAACTTAGTGCAGTATTTGTACCCTGCGAGGAGTGCTGGATAGTGCTGGCTGAAGGCTTTGGGTTTAGAAAGTGTCAGGGCCAATGGCCTACCCTTTCAAACAGGAAGGGGTCTTCATCGACTGCAGCTCATGCTGTGCTCGAGGGTCTTGGGCAACACCCCTGCGCTGTTTCAGGTGCAGCAGAGGTTTTGCACACACTTGAGCTTTAGGCTCAGGGACAAGAACATACATACTACTCAGTGGATACCAGCGGCTATCCCCTTGCCCAGGTACAGTACAACACTTTCTTATGGCAGGATATGGCAGGTGCGTTTACGCAGCGTCAGGGTACAGAGCTTGCTTTGGTTGGGGTGAGGACCTGACAACACCCCGCAGTCATGTATGGAACACATGATACAATGATACCTCCAATTACGAGCGCAAGGCATGAAGCAGCCGTGGCTTGTAAAAATGCAGGACGTGGATTGGCAAGCGGCTGGAGTCCAGGAGGAAGGGCACAACCTGAGCTGCCATGACATGTTAAGGTGCAAGATTGCTTGACTTGAACGCGCGTTTCTGAAGTCACGAGAGCAAGGAACATAATTTGCCAGGCGGTCAGTTGCAGAGAGCGCCTGCAAACGCAAAAAAAGTTGGCTGACACGTGCGGCAAGCTCTTGTAGAAAACCTTACTGTGGTGGTGCTGGTGCTGGCTTTTTCAAATCTATTTCCTTGACTCAGCACTCACGGCTGCAGCGGCGGTGCTGCGGCGGGAGTGGTGCTGCCGGAGTGGTGGCACAGGCGATCACACAAATGATAGTAGAAAGGTGCTTGTCGGAGGGGCCAAACCAATGGAAGCACTGGCAGTGGTGCCCGCAAAGCAAGAGCAGCACCAGCGGAAGCACCGGCCACCGGTCATTGAAGCAATGGTTCACAAATGCATGGTCATCCACCCAACACCTACACATCTTTCAAGTTGTTAGGTGAATCTCTGCAATTCTTGGCGCCTGAGACAAGCCTTGCCTAAGGTCTTCCCCAGTGATGCCAATCTTGTCGCCCTTCGGAGGCTCAAACCTTTTCAGGCAGCACCACAAGGGTAGACATGCAGTCAGGAGACAGGATTCCTGCCAGAAAGCCAACGGCTTGTCAACAAAATCGTTCATTTGCTGTTCTCACACATGACCAAAGCTTCGGACGAGTGACGTGATTGGAAAGTATGAGGAAAGTGTCTCGAAAAGCGAGATTAATGTCTCATTGCTCACGCACTCTGGCGGGAAGTCCTCGAAGGCCTGCCAGCAGAAATGCGCACTGTGAGCTAGATGGATAAGGTCTTTAAATGTTTCAACGCAGTGCCACACATGCCCAAGTGCCAAGCAGGCAAGCAAGAAGGGAATCTGGCAAGGTGAGCAGTTTCCACAATCCAGGTCTTGCCCCTGGAATCCCAACAAATAGCAAAGGACGATGTCTCTGCAACTGGCCTTCTTCACAATAGTGAAGGAGACTAGCAAATTTCGCGGATCCCGCTCTTCCTCTCGCAAAAAGTTTGAAAGACGACTGGCCGCGGCTTCTGTCAAACTGAGCTCCTCGATGGCCGCTGCTACGCCCTCGCCAAGCTGCGGCCCAAGCAACACAAGATCTGCGTGCCACTCATCCATCAGAAGGATTGCCTAGCTGCATGCGGACAAGGCCAGTTTGAGCGCTTTCACAAGGATCCTGGAATTTGCAAAGACTACCCTTCCAGGCAGCAAGGCTCAACCGACTCTTAACTCGCGTGCCAGGGGTTCCTGTAGATGCCTAGTGCCGTGTGTTGCAAGGGCGCGGACCGCGCTATATCATTGCTTTACTTAGCGAAAGGAGCGCATTATATCTGGAATTCCGGCACACACGTGCTGTCGGCTTTTCTAATCCTCAGCAAAGGCCACGCTTAGTCTGGAAAGTCACTTTGTAGTTTTCCACTGCTTCCAAATGCAAGCTCAGTAGCTGTGTCGAGCACGGTTTTTCTCACAGCCTGCCACAATGGCACAGTTACGTTTGAGCTTGACAACTGCATCCGTTGGATGCACAATGACAGCGGTATCTGCACGCTTGCGGTGGCATTTGCGGCCTGTGTATGAGAAGGAGTATGTACCTTAGCTGTCGACACTGGCTGGTCGAACTAGCGACGTCCGATCCGACTCAATTTTTGCGGCAGGGTTGCCTCCTTGAAAATTGATCGCGCTAGGTGCAGGGCGAGTGACCTCACACATTGAAACGATTTTTGAAGTTTCTTGAGAACTCTTTAGCGCTCACCAACCTTTGGGAACTAAGCACGCAACTCTTCGTCTCCACCGGGCAACTCTTTCTTCAGAGTGCGCACCAGGGCCCCCTGCCGCCGCAGCAAGACCAGAATTCCTGAGGATTCTGTCATGAAAGTGGCAATCTCTTACCGTTAGCAATTCTGGCAGATCTGGGACCATTCAAAAATCACCTCTCCCCCAACAGTCAGGATGAATGTCAAGTTCTCAGGCATTGAAAGCCGACTTCTCTGCGAAGAGCGCTTTTCAAGAGCAGATGTTCTACGATGGGGGGTGATGAATTGGGGAAGTGAATTGAACATATCCAGCCTCCCCAGCCTCCCGGCTCAAGAGTTGGCCCAAAAGTCTGTCATGACGCCTTTGCCTCTCGTCTTGACATGGGAGCTTAGCCCACCGCTCATAGAGCCAATCGAAAATTATCACCGCAGCAATTAGCAACTAGATGACTATTTGTTGGCGGAGGGGGCAGGCAATTTAGGACTTCCCTGTTGCATCCTGTTGCGGCTGCCTTGCGATGAAAGAGGAGGGAGAGGGAGAGGAGAGGGAGAGGGAGAGAAAGAGGGAGAGGGAGAAGAGAGGGAGAGAGAGAGAGAGGGAGAGAGAGAAAGAGCAAGGAAACGGTTTCACTGAAACTGGGCGAATGTGCCAAGTAGTACTAATTTCTGCGAAGCTGCCCCCAATGGCACCCTCCACACATTGCCAATCGCTCAGCTTGGAAGAGAAGAAGCTGGCAAATGTCTCCTTGCTGGCGTCTATGTTTTCCACTGCAGCTTTGCCCGCGAGTGAGGTTTTTGTAGTGACAGCGCATGCGCATTCAACAAGACACCTTGCACATTATGCTGACAACAAATTGAGCCACGGCACCACATGCTTAAAGTTCATCTTGAGCTCTGCTATGTCTCTGAGACACTCTGCCAGGAATTGGATGGCATGCCTCATAGCGCATGACCAATTCAAGTCTGAGAGGCCAACTTGATCTGGTACACCGAGGGGTCTGAATAAATAAACCGTCCATCAACGTTAACCCTTTTTTGCACGCCGGGTCTGCCCCCAGCCTGCGCCCTGTCGGGTTGCTGGCGTCGTTCATCACCTGTCGGAACGTCTTGCAGCGTTGGATTTCTCACCGTGAGATGGTCACAGGTTTCTCTCGCTCTGCAGTGCCATCCAGAGGGTCTTGCGGGTTGGTGCTAGCCTTCTGTATGTCTTGGGCTGGCCAGGAGCCCCAAACTGAAATACTATTGCGCCAAACAGTACGGCTGCTATTGCGCAGAAGTGCGGTGCGGTGGGTGCACTTGCTCGCCTTCTCCAAGTGTAGGACGATGTCCAGCAGCTCGAGGCGTTTAGCATCCAAGGCTTTCAAAACTTTCTTCAACGTCACCTGTTCATACATTGATTCCACAAGGCAGCAGAAGTCCTGACTTGCGTAGCCAATACATAGGCCCACAGTGGGAAAACTGCCTGGGTTCCAACTCCCTTCTCGCGAAACTCAGTTTGCGACGCCTCCTTTAACTCATCCGTAACCAAGTCTGAATCCACGTACTGGTCGATAGCCTGGCAACCAGCAAACAATAGGTCGGCTAGGCACCGCTTCAGCAGCTTCAGCAGCAGCTTCGAAATCACGTAAGAGAGTGTGCCTCCCGCAGCGTCTCATCGATGCTTGCCATTGAAGTCCGGCCTTGGGTGTGAATTGCCTCTTGCGCGATGGACAGCACTCCAGGCAGTTGAACGTTCACTGACTCAGCCCGGCGCACGGCAGGAACGGAAAATTGCCGTGTGAAAATGCTACATAACCTACACTATAACTTGAGAGATGTCGCAGCTCTCCGTGATACATGAAGGAATTGCATCAGCTTCCAGTGTGCTGCGTTCAAGGGCACAAAAAGTCCAGCTGTCCTCTCCAACGTAACACAACAAAACATCCAAGCACCGCCCCAATGTCTTCACGCGTTCTACTTAGGAGAATGTAAGGCTGTCAGAAACTTCAAGGCAGGGCTGCCTCCAGCCTGGCGTACGCGTTGGAAATCAGAGCCTTGAAGACAGCAAACGCAATATGCTGACATTCAGCCGTCGCCACTCATACACCGAATGTCTAAAACCTGCCATAGCCAACCTGGATCTTGCCTTAAGCAGTTTTGTTGCGCGGGACAATGGTGCTTTAAAAGCGCCATCAAGTGAAGGGATACCAAAGGTATCATGCAGCAGTGCTGGTCAAAGACTAGGATCCTTGGAGTTTCTGTGGTTTGGTAGTTAAGTCTGACAAGGAGGGACAAAAGGCGCATTCAGAAAACCTGTGGAGGGGAGCGTCTTCAAATGGCAAGTTCCGGCCATAGTAGTTGACTTTGCATATCCCCACCATATTTTTTGTTGTTCGGTACTCGGAATTGAAGTTGGAGGTTGTTGCATCTTGGCTAGATTTGGGTTGTGCTGCTCCCTCTCCCTATCGTGAATGCCGTGCACCCATCCATGTGCGAAACAATCCTTTGAAGGTTGTAGGCATTTCTTATGTATCGAATCGAACCGCATCGAACCTATCATATGAATAGGCCGCTGGAGATCCAAAAAGTCCCTGATCCGAATAAGAGCACAGAAAGGAGGGCCTGAGGCGCCACGAGAAAAGAGTACAAAACACGGTTGAAGGGCAGGCTTAATTGTGGACTTGTCTGGCTTTTTGCACAAAAAAGTCCACAACATTTCCGGCTTCATGACTGGAGTGCCAAAACACCTGCAGCAACGATACGGACAAAAAGCCGCGGCCCGCTTCAAACTGATGTTTGATGATGAGCGCCGCGAAACTTGAAACGCACCAAGGAACTGCGCCAAAATCCAGCGAACACCCTGCACAATGCTAGCGAGGAAGAAGGGCGGCCAGCCCAAGATCTTAGCAGGTCTAAACTAACGCGCTAGAGCTGTTGGTAAGAACTGAACTTTCTGCCAAAAGCCGGTGAGGCTTTCACGCAATGATAATTGCATTGAAGTCTGAAGAAGGAAGATCTTTCAACACAATTGGCAATGGGCGTGGGCAATGCAGTTGGTCAGCCCTCCGCAATTCAACACGCCCAGTGTCACCAATTTTCATGGAGTGCCCAACTCTACACCTACAGCGCCACACCCAAGAATTTGCTTGGAATCCTTAAGCAAATTTGATCAACCACTGAATGCCTTGGAAAGCTCCGTTCGACAGTTCCCAACATAGATTTGTTTGAAGCGAAGCAGAATTTGTCCCAGGCATGCCCAAATGCAGAGCGTCACAATGTCCCTTGTCCGTGGAGTGCCCAACTGCTCAACCCGACTGTGAAAAATGTCTTTTGACGAAAGAAGAACATAAAAGCAAGAAATGAGGCTGTTGCAAGCTGTTGCTCTCCAAAGCCTGTAGAAGCGCTCCTGGCTGTTGACACGTCTGCCTGTACTGTCATGACGTTGACAACGCGCCTGCGGATTGACCTTGAAAAGACTTTGAATAATGCCAGGTCCCGAAACCGAAGCTTGGCAAAGGCCTCGCAAGAGAACGTGCAGCAGTAAACATCGGCTCCCCCAGTACAAGCATCACTGACACAGGCCGCGCGTGAGGACCTTGCATTGAGTAAAAGCGCCACATCCTTAACACACGTATAAAGAGCGCATGCAGAACGCTTGCTTGACATGTTGATAAGCCGAGGCCGCATCTCGCGGCTCAAAGCCGTCCGCGCAGTGAATGGCCTGGTCTGACCTTGCACGCTGCACGCAGCCTCACTTCTATACCACATGTTCAGAAGGCAAATAGCTGGCCGGCATTCGGTTGAAGACCTCGCGGTCGGGCACTTCGGCCTTGGCTTCTTCGCTTTCGGTCCACTTGCTGCTTTATACAAAGAAAGGCGGCTGCTCTTGCAAATCCATTGACGACAAAGGCCATCTGCTTCGGCCTCATTTGCTATGGGTGCTCTGTACGACATTACAATGCAAATCTGCTTTTTGACGGGCGCTGCTTTGTGACGTCACCTGCTTCGGATTTTCGAGGAGAAGAGGGAGATGGTTTTGGGAGGGGCAGAGCGGTTTACAAGGATGTGGTGGCATGCAGTGCTTCTAGCGCGGCAGAAAGCCAAACAAAATCGTGAAAATGTGCGACGTGGAAAATTCCTGTCTCTGAGATCTCCGAGCCTATCCTTATGCCTTATCACAGCATGCTATATGCGGGAAGAGAGGCGAGAGTTGATTCCAGGTAGAACCCATCTCTAGCCTCTTCGCACTCCGTTCCAAGATCAAGTAAACCACAAATGCAACTATGCAGGAATTCATCTGTAATTAATCTTGAATCGCCTGCCTCTTTTTTGACGCTTTGCTTTTCATGGCGTTTCCAGCATCATCAGGAGTCTCGCACACTTATAGCTTGATACAGAAACACGGCATTCCTGCACGTGACAAACTCATGGAACAATCTGTTACGCGACATGAGACATGACAGCAGTTCTGACAGCACGCGATAGCACACGCCCAGCATATCACCAGGCGATCCACTGCAGGGCGCTTGCGTGGAAAAGTGTGGCCTCAAGGAGCAGCAGATTCAAAGAATACAAAGGTCCATGTGCAGCTGCACCTCAGCATACTCGCGCCACAATCGCATGTCCTCAAATGCCGTCTTGGGCTAAATACTACGGGAGGCATGTTGGCTTGCATCAGCCACACCTGCTTCTTCGGCCCTTGCGACGCAATCCGCACGGCCTGGGGACACAGCAACTGGAATTCGCTTTTCTGAGCATTGCCATTGTTGAGACAGGGACTGTGCTAAGCTCTGATGGCGACATCTGCCTGCAATGATTGCAGCTGTTGTCATGTGCCGACAGTGCTGCAAACAGGAAACAAAAGCTTTCCAACCATGCGAGCACTCCTTTTCTTGCTTCACACCTACCATCCTACAGCTACAGGCTAGAACGAATGCTGCCTGCGCTGGGCATATTGGAATTGCGAGAAGTGCATCGCCGTTTCTCTACAAGATAAACATCAGAACTGGTAGCTACCCAGCACCGACCCCCACACTCCTCGTATCTCCTCGTCACTTCTCGAGCGATCATCACATCAGCCGCTAGCAGGCCGCAAGTGTACTCTGGACCAATAGGAGCGCGATTGCGAATGACTTGGCAGCTGAGGTGAGAGATAAGCTGGCCCTACGTCCTGTACAACGGCTCTTTCATTAATATGAAAGAGCACCCCATAAGTCCCCAAGCGCTGATCTCGGATCACAGCGAAATCTGGCTCACCGCTACAATCCCAAACTGCTAAAAGTTTGAACAGACATACCATGTTTCACATTGCCAACGAAGCGGAGCATTCTGCAACTGCTACAGTACGCATCTGCGAATTTGGATGCATGGCCTGCGATTGTTCGCAAGAGTGCTAACTCTCCCACGTCTGCCAAACAAAACAGGCAAGCTTTCAAAGCTTTGCACAGCACAATGCCACTATTGCAAGATTCAAAAGACCAACGGGCAGGCAGGAAATCTAGAAAGTGAATTCAGCTTCAAATCACGGATCTGACGAATCCTGTCGTATCATGATTCAACGAATGCTACGCGGCAGCAGCAGCAATTTGCTGTGGATATCGAACACCCTCTGGGAGTGACGTGGGTCAGTGTTATCAGATGCTATCAGAATTTGGCTGCAGCTGCCGCTGTGCACGAATGTGAGCTAATACTTGCCGTCACAGAAGCTAGAAAAGCGCGCCACATCGGCTAGGTGAACCTGCATCTCCTGCACAGCAAGGCGTGGCCTGATCATCTAACAACACAGAATCAATTTCAAGCATGAAGTCCTGGCTTTCGAAATCGACGGTCCAGCAGCATCCAGGCAGCCGCTTGGTCATGGTTCGAAGTGCACGATTTACCAAAGCACGCTGCTGGCACATGCTGCCAGACAGCTTACTCAACCATTTGGCAAGGGTGACGTTCACTCGCTTGCCTTCCTCCAACTTGGGGCGCTGCATCAGCACCTGCTCCATCAAATCCCAAATAGCACGCTCGAGCAGGGAATCAGGAGGAGCATCTGCTTGCAAGCTTGTAGATGCAGCTGCCTGAGCCACAGTCCGGGAGCGGTATCGACGGTGTGGCACTTCCCATGCCGTGTAATCACCAGTATAACTGGCAGACGGACCCTGACGAGCACCTCGCTTCCTCCAACGCTGATCTGGAGCTCGTTTGTAGCGTCCTTGTTCGAAAACTGCGATTGGATGCTGGTAGCCGGGGACGGCTACATGCTTGGGTTCTTGGAGAGGAGGTGGATTTCCAAAATTGCTGCGGCAGGCCGCTGCACTGGACTCAGTGCACTCAGTGGACTGCTGGTAAATTCCTGCATTGCACGAATTTGACATCTTCGATCCCTGGACCTGTCGGACAAGCCCGGGCTCTGCAACCTCCGTAACCTCGCCGCGCACCTGGCGCACCTTCTGCGGGTCAACATGTTCAACGCTGCTCGGAGCAGTTCTTTCAAATGGGAAAGCAGGCATTTTGGACTTTTGGCAATGCTTCTCTGCTTGCTGGAAGCCGCGCTTCCAGGACTGCAAACAAACCGGGGATGGAGTAGGGAGAATCTCAACATTGCGCTGGCGCGGTGGTGGGGTGCATGGAGCATCCTGCTCCAGCATTTGAGGTGCAAGTGCAGTGGACCACGTAGCTTCTGAAGGCGAAAGGCCATCACA